GGGGGGGAACCCCTGCCGTAGGTAAGCGGGATGAACATCCATCTGGTTTTCCTTACTCCATGACTGCACAGCATAACCCATCCTACTGCTGCCGTTTGGGGAGGGGCTGCTCTGTTAACACAGCAGTTCTGGTGCAGCTGTTTGCCCCACGCTGCGGGGATTCGCTCCTGCTGCCCACAGACAGCGGCGTGCCGGAAAACTCACTACAAGCACACCTGACGGGATGTCATCACGTGTGTGTTTGACTGTGTCTCACTGACACAAGGCCCGTGGTGGTCAGGAGAAAGGTCCTGTGTGAGGAGGACGGGAACAGCCGGCCTCCCCCTTCCCCACTGTGTTGTGCATCAGCAACGCTGCTCCGTTCAATTCCGCTTTCCCAGCAGCTAAATGTGATGCAGTCCCGAGACCCAGACTCTTAATTCAGTTTCATCCCTGTCAGCTCTAATGAAAAATATGATTAAATCAAAGTGCTGCCAATCAGACAGCCGAGTGCACCACTTTGGGGTTAAAAAGGGTGTGCAGTGCAGGAAGAAAAGAGGATTGCACCTGTGAGTTGGTTAATTCCCACAGTACTGGGAAGAGAAAGTGCCCCACATCAGCTCACTCATGTGAGCGCATGCTTTGTGCTTGGCATTACCAGGCCCTACGTGATGCCATCCCCTGTTGTGAAGGTGACTACTTTAAATTCTGGCCCATCCTAGTGCAAGTGAGAGAGCCCAGCTGCATCCTTACTGAATTCACAGGGCCTTCTGACAGTGTTGGGGAAAGGAAACACGACAGGAGCGTGTACCTCGTCCCTGTCCTGACAGTGGAGCAAGAGGAGCTCTTCACTGGGACAAACATGAGGGCTCCACCACCCTTAGGCTACCCTGAACATACTGTGCGAGGCTGAAAGCAGAGAAGCTGCTACAGTAGAGGCCTCTAAGGCTGAAGAGAACGCCACACCTAGCAAAAGGGAGAAGGAACGGCAACAATTTCAGGAGAGTAGCCGTGGAAGGAAGAACAACTGAACGGAGGTTTACAGCAGAACCAGCTTTCCCAGACACCATCCCTTTGCTATCCTGCCAGAGGGCAAGAGCAAATTCCAGTTTGGGAATAAAGCACTGTTGGGCAGCACAAGCAGCAGCCTCCTATTTAGGGGAAAAAAGCCTAGTGGTGAGTCAGCACTATCTCTGCCACCGTCTGCCTACCTGATGTTGAGTACCACAAGAGGTAAGAGTAGAGAACACGCTCTCCACAGGAGTGATGACAGGCAAATCCCTGAATTCCACTGGAGGGATCAGAACTGAATGGGCTTCTGTGTTGCCCACAGAGGTTGTGGAGTCTCCATCCTTGGAGGTACTCAAAACCCATCTGGAATTAGTCCTGGGCAGCCTGCTCTAGGTGGCCCTGCTTGAGCAGGGGGGGTTGGACCTGATGACCTCCAGAGATGGCTTCCCACCTCAGCCATTCTGCGACTCTGAAAGCAAGACGGCTGCTTCTGCCGTGTTACTGCCCACCACCCTGTCCTGCCATGGGGGACCAGAAACCAGGGAGCATCTGAAAGGAAGTAAGGATGACCAGTGGAGGGAAACCAGTCCTCCGTTAGGGCACAGTTTCTTCAGAAAGAAGGGAGTTTTGGTAGCTAGAAATTCCAGTAATTGTTGACTATTCTATCACTTTTGCTGGAGCTTTTCTGGAAGACTGGGCATTCAGAAGAAAAAAAAAAAAAAGACTACTTTCAAAATACTCATCAGAACTGAACTAACAGCCTTAAAATTTTCTGTTAGAATACCTTTCCCTGGGGAATCACTCCAGTTTCAGGCCGTCTGCCCTAGGCTGAGTAGTAGTACAATGATGAAACCACCCGATTGTCTGCGAGGGCAAACAAGACCTGCCCTTCTGCCCTGAAGAAAGCTCCTGTACCTTTCAAATCCTTTTGATTGTTGGAAAGGCCACGTGGAGCAATACCACAAGCCATCTCCCCTTTGCAGGTCACCTTTCCCAAGGCAGTTAGTTTGGTGTGCAGCGATGCACACCTTCAATAAAGATGACTGAAAGAGATAAGGTAAACCACAAAAGCCCTCAGTAAAGTCTAGAAGATCACAGTTTGGTGCTCTGCCTTGCCCCACCACAGCCTCCCACTGACCTGAGGGCTGCAGAAGAGCCTGGGCAAGCTGAAAATCCTATGGCAGGAGCAGACAGCAGGCTTTG